GAGCAGATGTTGATGTTGACGTCTCGTCTGCTGTCACGGCGACCCAGCTGTCAGGTGTTATGGGATGTACTGTCCTGTTGCTGTGGTTACAGCAGCTGCTGTTTAGATGTGATCCATTAGCTGAAGTAAACAGCTGTAAAACACAAACACACGGCCGACTGCTTTCCTCATGCTGTGTGTGTGTGTGTGTGTGTGTGTGTGTGTATGTGTGTGTGTGTGTGTGTGTGTGTGTGTGTGTGTGTGTTTCAGGCACTGTCTGTCGAGCACGGGTCTGTCTTCATCTGGTCCTCAGGCTCCTGATGCTGATGATGAAAACTCTCTGTCGCCTGAGGCCTGTTACGAGTGTAAGATTAACGGGTATCCAAAGAAAGGCCGCAAACGCAGAGACGCCAACGCAACACACGAGCTTCAGGTAAACACACTAATAACCTTAGAAACAGTCAAATTTAGAGTTTAACACACTAATAACCTTAGATACACTTAAATGTAGAGTTTAACACACTAATAACCTTAGATACACTTAAATGTAGAGTTTAACACATTAATAACCTTAGATACACTTAAATGTAGAGTTTAACACACTAATAACCTTAGATACACTTAAATTTAGAGTTTAACACATTAATAACCTTAGATACACTCAAATTTCGAGTTTAACACACTAATAACCTTAGATACACTTAAATGTAGAGTTTAACACACTAATGACCTTAGATACACTTAAATGTAGAGTTTAACACATTAATAACCTTAAATACACTTAAATGTAGAGTTTAACACATTTATAACCTTAGATACACTTAAATTTCGAGTCACTAATAACCTTAAATACACTTAAATGTAGAGTTTAACACATTTATAACCTTAGATACACTTAAATTTCGAGTTTAACACACTAATGACCTTAGATACACTTAAATGTAGAGTTTAACACATTAATAACCTTAGATACACTTAAATGTAGAGTTATACACTTAAATGTAGAGTTTAACACATTTATAACCTTAGATACACTTAAATTTCGAGTTTAACACACTAATGACCTTAGATACACTTAAATGTAGAGTTTAACACATTAATAACCTTAGATACACTTAAATGTAGAGTTTAACACACTAATGACCTTAGATACACTTAAATGTAGAGTTTAACACATTAATAACCTTAGATACACTTAAATGTAGAGTTTAACACACCAATGACCTTAGATACACTTAAATGTAGAGTTTAACACATTAATAACCTTAGATACACTTAAATGTAGAGTTTAACACACTAATGACCTTAGATACACTTAAATGTAGAGTTTAACACATTAATAACCTTAGATACACTCAAATTTCGAGTTCAACACACTAATGACCTTAGATGCACTTAAATGTAGAGTTTAACACACTAATAACCTCAGATACACAAATTTCTTTAGTGTTTTTGAGGAAAACATGCAGGATTGTAGCGCATCAAACAGATTGTTTAACATGTGCAATTTATTTTTAAAACGCTTTTTAAAAAATAATCCAACTTTAATGGTGTTTAAACAATTAAAAACTGCTTTTATTCTAGCTGAAATAAAACAAATAAAGACTTTCTCCAGAAGAACAAATAGAGAAAATGCTGTGAAAGTTTCCCTGCTCTGTTAAACATCATCTGGGAAATATCTGAAAGTGATGTACAGCAGTTTAGCCTTGATCTGTGCGTGTGTTCCCGCAGGATGAAGTGGATGAGGTCAGTCTGGCCAGTGTGGACGTGGACGACACGCTTCAGCTCCACCTGAACATCAGCTCACTCAAAAACAAAGACCACATCATAGACTTGGTGCCGGCGCTGTCCACGCTAACAAACCACCTGCGCTACACTATCGCCTACGGCAATGACGACGGCCTGTTCCGGATGACCCAGAAGGACGGCGTCAGCTACCTGCACATCTCCAAGAAGAAGCCTCTCCAGCCCGGAGCCTACTATTTAGAAATCCGCAGCGTGGGCGGGAAAGACCAGCGTCCCGAAACAGACTACCTCAGCGGGCAGCTAGGGGGCGCTCTGATCATGAGAGTCCAGATCGTCCTGCACTGATCGTATGCTAACAGACTGACGCAAACTAGCCAAAGAGCAGCACGTATCGCACCGCGCGCTTCACTCCATCATACGCTCGCATTCAGCCGACGGACGGACTCGCTCCTCTTACTGGTGCTAGATACGAGATTCATGCACTGTAAACCCGTCCGCGGCCCGCTGTCCTCTCCGCAACTATACTACATGTAATTTAAGTGTGTCTATACTGTAACCGTGTCACTTTTTTTACTCGCGAACGCATTTGTAAACTAGAGGAGCCCTGGAACAGAGGGTTTGTAATGGTGCTCGTTATTATGACCAGTGTTGGGGACGTTAGTTTAAGTGATGCATTACAATCTCGTGTTGCTTTTTAAAGGTAACTGTTACTTTCTTACTTTTTTAAGCAAAGTAATCCATTACAATCAGTAGTTACTTTTTAAAAAGTAACCATTACTTTTTACCTTAAGTAATCCATTACAATCTGGAGTTACTTTTTTAAGTTGCTGTTACTTTTTTACATTTTTAAGTAATCTACTAGAATTTGGAGTTACCTTTTAGAGTAACAATTACTTTTTTAAGAAAAATAATCCATTACACTCTAGAATTTCCTTTTTTAAGTAACTGTTACTTTTTTACATTTTCATGTAATCCACTACAATTTGGAGTTACTTTTTTAAAAGTAACCATTACTTTTTTAAGTAACGTAATCCATTACAACCTGTAGTTAGTTAAAATTCTAAAAGTAACAGTTACTTTTTTTTTTTTACATTTTTAAGTAATCCACTACGATTTGGAGTTACTTTTTAAGAGTAACTGTTACTTTTTTAAGTAATCCATTACATTTTAGAGTTCCTTTTTTAAGTAACTGTTTTTTATACATTTTACAGTAAAGTAATCCACTACAATTTGGAGTTCCTTTTTAAGTAACTATTAATTTTTTACATTTTAAAGTAATCCACTACAAATTGCAGTTACTTTTGTAAAAGTAACTGTTACTTTTTTTAAGTAACGTAATCCATTATATTCTGGTGTTACTTTTTTAAAAGTAACTTTTACTTTGTTACTTTTTAAGTAGAGCAATCCATTACAATATGAAGTTACTTTTTTCCCAAAGTAACTGTTACTTTGTTACATTTGTAAGTAAAGTAATCCATTACAATCCAGTGTTACTTTTTTAAATTAACTGTTACTTTTTTTAAGTAATAATTAAGACAACTCCTTACATTAATATTGTGATTTTCTCGACACTCAAAGCTCTTTACTCATTTTTGGAGGGAATCTCCTCATCCACCACAAGAGTGCAGCATCTATCTGGATGATGTAATACATTAAAGAAATCCATTACAGTCTTCTGTTAGTTTAAAAAAAAACAGTAAAAAAAGTAACAGTTACTTTCAAAAGGAAAGTAATCCATTAATGTTACAATCTGATGCTACTTTTTTTAAAAAGTAACTGTTACTTTTTAAGTAATGCAATAAAACTCGGTCTTCTTTTAAAAGTAACTGTTACTTTTTTAAAGTAAAGTAACACATTTAAGTAACGGCTACTTTGTTTCTTTTTAAGCAGGATTAATCTGGCGTTACTTATTTTAAAAAGTAACTGTTACTTATTTAAGTAAAGTAATCCATTACAATCTGGTGTTATTTAAAAAAAAAAAGTAACTGTTGCTTTTAGGTAACGTAGTTACTTTACTTTTTTTCATCTGGGCTGGGCTTGCTTGTTTGGGTTCCTGAGGGTTTTACTGTCATATTTAAGACCTTTTTAACCTTTATGAGTGAAAATTCAGATTTATGCAGGTCTAAATCTAGGGATAGTTTTTGAATACCAGCTTGTGCGGTGTAAAAGGTTTTTACCTGCCCCTATCAAAAAAAGTGAAATGAGTTATTTGTTAGTCACATATGAAACATGCTAATGTAAGGAAGATAATTAAAGCATATTGGTAAATAGAGTTATGTTGAACGTTTTAATGGGATGGATTGTTGATGATTGGATGGGTGTGACCTGACTGGGTAGCTTTACATAGAAATAGGAAAATTAAGACCTGTTTAAAATGACCTACAAGACTATTATATTGAATTTAAACTTTCTAAGGCCTAAAATTTAGTTTACAACTTGTAATGCATCACCCCCAACACTGGTTATGACCAACTACTTGTAAACTGTGTTTCTGTGACTTGATCATGCACTGAGGTCTTGAAGCCACACACACACACATACACACACACACACACAGACATTCTCGTCATCGCCGTGTGGCCTCGGCCTGAGATCTGCCACCTTCTGTCCCGTCTCCACAGTCATGAGGTGTTTAGTTGTACATTCACAATAAAACATATTTTTGGTTGTATGAACGCTCTATTCTTTATTCTCAGAACGCCACGCTTCACGACACGAAATTCACAGCTGCTCACAATTGTTTTTTTAAAGGGACAGTTCACCTAAAATGATCATTTCGTCATGTGATTAGCTTTTACCAGCATTTTGGAGTATATCTTGTAATGTTGGGGGAAACCCAGCTATCTAAAGTAGAAACGAAAACACTACTAAAAGTCGAGCTTTGTTTACCCAGCATTCTTCAGAATATCTTCTTTTACTGTTTGAGTTTAGTAAATGATGTAAATGTGCTGAACTGTCCCTTTAAGAACAGCGCTGATCGGACTGAAACATGCCTCTGTTTAGATTAGCTTGAGTTCAGTCTAAACCTCTGTCTGCTCGAGGTCATCGTGTGTGTAGGTTTATAAACGCTCCTCTAGCGCCTCCCAGCGGAGAACACCAACATCTTAGAGTTTTACATGCTAAAATCTGTGCCATAACAGTGCAAATGAGATTTAAACATCAGAAAAACTAACTATACTATAACTATGTAAAAATAAAGCAAATATAATTCAAAATTACTTGTTATATACAATTATATTGTTATACAAAATTACACAATACAAAAACCTTTTTGATTTTGCATAAAAAAATGTGTGTGTATATATATATTTTCGTTTTTTAAGATTTAATTGTATATATAAAAACACCTACATGTGTGTCCATTATCTATATATAAAATGAAAATGCACTTAAAGCCATATCCACTTCTTTGTACAAAAAAATATTTTTTTTTCCTACAGTAGAAACAATATAAACGCATCAACATCAATAAAAATACAAGATAAAAATCTAAAACTGTTTAAGGTTTACTTTTGATAATAATTGTACCATTTTTTAAAGGATTTTTAAAAAATCATTTAGTCTCTACAGATGAAAGTCAATGTCTGATCACTCTAAAAATAGGGTATTGTGTTTAAGTACATGCTTAACGCTGGTTTCTATTGCAATATTCCCATTTTAGGGCAACTTATGTACACTATCTATAACATATACAGTTGAAGAAAAAAGCAGAAAAAAAGTTTAATAAAAGTTTTTGATTTTTTAAACACCATTTAAAGTCAATATTATTAGCCTCTTTAAGCTGTATATTTTTTTTTAAGTCAACACAACAAACCATCATCATACAATAACTTGCCTAAATTATCCTGACCTGCCTAGTTAAGAGTGAAGCCTTTAAATGTGACTTTAAGCTGTATGGAAAAGTCTTAAAGAATATCTAGTCTAATATTATTTACTGTCATCATGACACAGAGGAAATATTAAAATAAAATAAATATTAGAGATGAGTTATTAAAACTATTATGATTAGAAATGTGCTGAAAACATCTGCTCTCCGTTACACAGAAATCAGGGAATACAAATAAACAGGGAGGGTTAATCATTGACTTCAACTGTAAATATATAATATATAAATAAATAAATAAATCTCATTGTTTTTAGTCAGGTTGGACACTCTGAGATACTTTTGCTAAAAAAAATCTTTATTGTCAAATGAATGCAGCAACACAAACAGCAACAGTTAAACACATCTTCAGTTATCAGAGCGTAAAGACCTGCTCACTTTACTCCTCAAGTCATTCAGTCACTAAACAAACTCTATGAGGATTGCACAGTAAATTGACAGCTTCAGTTGGTGCCGGTGGAGCCGAATCCGCCCGCTCCTCGCTCCGTCTCATCCAGCGTCTGAAAGCAGAAAATAGGACAGGAGTATTGATCATTATTAATAAACCAGACGAGAGTGAAGTCAGAGTCCTGACATGCTCATTTATTCACATCTTAAATGAGTCGTTTTCATCTTGCATTCATTTTCATTTCAAAAGGGGCAGAAAAAATAAAGACTTTCAGATGAGATTTATTTCAATAGATAGTTCATCATTATTAACCATTTATCAGACAAATAAAGCAACAACAAAAACTATTTTAATCACTTTATGCAAAATAAACACCAGATTAAAATTCAAGCATTTAAAAAAAAAAAAAAAAAGATTTCCACTATTCATATCTGTGTGTGTGTGTGTGAGAAAGAGAGCGTATTCATGAGTGTGTGTGTGTGTGTTGACCTGTAACTCCTGCAGGTCCGGGTAACAGATCTTCTCACAGATGAGCTGAGCGATGCGGTCTCCTTTCTTCACTGTAATAAAGTAAGTAAATCATCATTAATGAGCCGATCAACAGCGATTATAATGATCCTCATGTGAGCCTGGAGCACAGCAGCAGCCATGAAGCTCAATATTCACACAATCCTGATTTAGAGATCATCAGAGCTGCAGAAACATCCGTCCACTGATCAGGGGCTCGCGAGGAGAATATGAAATACAACAACAGTGTATATAATCGTCTCTCCATATTTTATAGGTGATGTATGCATATCATAGACAATATTTCAAGATGAAAATGATAATAAAAACCTTTTTAATGTACTGAAAAACATCCCAGTATATGATGTTGACAGCGAAGCGGTTCAATACACATTAGTGATGGGTTGTTCATGAACGATTCATTCATTTTGAACGAATCTTCAATATGACTCAGGAACTGTGAGTCCTCTCAGGGAGTGATTCGTTCATCCGCGCGTGCGCACATTTGTGCAGCTGGTATCGTTCATTTCAAGTCTTTTGAGTCGTTCATCGTGGAAAGGCAGAAGCCAATCATATGCGTTTAGAGCCGGAAAAAGAATTGATCTGTTCATCTCTCGGGTCCTCGGGTTTGAGTCATTCTGTCACGTGATGAACGAACGACTCAAGAACCAGAAGACTCAAGGTGAACTCATCATCATGGCTGCTGTCTGCTCAGACTGTGCACATTGATTAAGACAAGTGTGCCGCAAGCCTACGTTTGAGTGAAGGTCTCGGCCGTTAGATCGCCCCCTGGGGGCTGGCTGCAGTACAAGTCATAAAGCCCGCCTCCTCCGTGTTAATGAAGGAGACTTGAGCCCAAATAAAAAAAAATATTACACTTGCAATAAAATGTCCCGAAAGATGGTTCTGGTGGATTAAGGCACTGGTTATTGTGCTGAAATAGGTGCAGATCTTCATTTTTGTAAACAGTTTGTTTTTAGCAGTAATTTAATGCTGGGCGTGTCATCGTGATTGACAGCTGTGATTGACAGTTTCTCAAAGCGCGGCGTCTGAGCTTCGGCAGGAGACTGAAGTAGACTGAAATGTTATTATTCGATTTCTGTGTCATTTTACCATGACAAAATGAGTTCAGCAGTAAACTATAGTTTCTGACATACATGATCCTGGTGGAACACTGTTTATTCGCTAAGTTCAGGGCTTTTTTCGGGCTTTATTAGTTTGCTGATACACGCCTAGCCACCCAGATAGCAAAACACAGTTCCGGCTAGATTCTCGCCTGCCGGAGACTTATCTCTTAGAGCTCAGACTGACTAATGTTACCTCTGCTGGACCTACTCCGGATGCCTGGACTCACTACCCAATTCCAGCCCGAGTCAATCGAGCCAGATGCGGCGGCATAGCGAGTAAGTTATGCGCTGCGGCCTGGAGCTGGCGCGATTGAATATATAAAACCCTCATATTTGTTAACGTTATTACATCCATTTGTGTTGATATGACAGCAAACGCATGCTGAGAAGTTTGGGGGGCGTGGTTGATTTTACATAAAGCGTTTGATTGGACGCTCGACTCCGCTCATTTTCGCGGCTCCTCCTCTGGCTCCATCAGACAGTCCTTCTGCGCATGTCTGGCTCCAATTTCAGCAGTCTTTTGTGACAGTTTGTGCCCGTCAAGCAGGCGTTTTGCCCTCAAGGCATTCAATTGAAAAAGGGGCTGTCGCGTCGTCCATATTTTTTACAGTCATTGGATTAAGATTATATGTGACTGTCAGTGTAACGTGAACGAATCACTGACATTTGAAGACATGAAGAGGTGAACTGAGCAGAGACAACAACACCTTCATAGATAAAACAGCAGGTCAACACTGAATTATTATGATCTCCCTCTTATAGGATTCTATTGATCACTTATTTGTCGTGTGATCAACCTTTCGGGCTAGTTGTAGATGTGTTTGGAAGCAATTATTAACATTTTAATAATATTTTAGCAAATCAAATGAAAAAAATGACTCGAAAAAAGATTCGTTCATCTCGATAAACTAGACTCAAAGATCAGAGTCAGTGAAATGATGTGAACTTCCCATCACTAACACACATTACTAATTAAAAATGGAGTTTATATGTTTTTTGGTAGACAATGTACAAAATGTCTCCATGAAGCACGACCTTCAATAAATCTGACATGAACTCTTCTGTTCTCCAGGGTCACAGATCTCGAATTCTACACTATAGATGTGTCAAATATTTCATCCTGTTCACTTCTGACAAATTATTATTATTATGCAAATGATATTATCGTGGGAATATGCAGAAGAAAGCCCCGCCCCTACTCAATATTCGGCTTGGGTGTGAAGTACATCAGCAGACTGAAGTAAGTCCAGCAGATCCTCTTCACTCAGCCGTGGTGACATTAATTATATGTAATGTTTATTCATTGGTTGGGCGTGCAGTTCACTGTTCTGCCTTCTGATTGGCTGTGAGATTGAATGTGTGCGTGATATCAGGTGTTGATGTGCTGTATGAGTAATATTGATCATTGGACCTTCGAACGGCTCCTTGTTGAAGTTGAAGATCACGACTCCCAGATTCCCTCTGTAGTCTTCATCAACCACACCGGCTGAGGGGAAACACACAACTCACTTTAGAATTTACACACACACCCCCGCGTGCACACTTGCACATACATGCACACACTTGTATGCACGCTAACAGGTGCAAACACACTCAAATGGATGCATGCACACACACTTCTATGCACACTTACACTTACACACACTTGCATGCACACACACTCGCATGTACAAAAACATACGCACTCACGCTCCCACACACACACGCTTGCACATACACTCACTTGCGCATACATGCACACACTTGCATGCACTCTTGCAGATGAACACACACTTCCATGCACACTAACCCACACTCACACATACAAAAACGCATGCACACTCACATTCAAATGCTGGCGCGCGCACAAACACACACACACATTGTATTTTACTTACCACCAACATCAATGAAGTGCTTGACAGCGAGACCCGATCGTGGTGCTAAAACACACACACACACACACACACAGTAAATGCAGGAAGCAGAGAGTGACAGATTGTGACTGACGTGTGTAGTGTGTGTCTTCTCTCACCGACTCTACCGTAGTATCCGTGTGGAACGGCGATCTGGATGTCAGTCTTGACCAGTGTTTTGTCCATCGGCCCGATGCTGTAGTCATAAGCACTGAAACAGGCAGATCAGGACAAAATGTCCCAGTAAACAGGATTCCTCCACATTTAAAGGCTCGGTTCACTCATTCAGTGGTTCTAACATTAATGAACTCTTGAATTGAACTCAATACAGAAAATCTGCATCTGTTTCCCAGCACTGTTCAGCAGATCCTCCTCTGTGTTCAGCAGATGACAGAACTCTCATATTTACAACAAACTCTTTTAAACTCACTATGAGCACAAAATATTCCCCAGAGTGTGGTTTAATCTTCATGATGCTCAGTCTGAATTAAAATATAGTTTCTAAGAAATGCTTGATTACTAAGCTGTAAAAGATTCAATACACAGCATAAATATACCCACTGATAATCCTAGACAGTTTAGTCTTTATATATATATATATATATATATATATATATATATATATATATATATATATATATATATATATATATATATAGTCAAACATCTGTCATTTTGCTCATATCTGTCACTTTTGGATTGAGTTTTGATGAACACACACACAAATATATTTTTTAAAAGCTTCAATATATATTTATCTTTTATTTACAGGAGTGTGGTCAAACAGAAAAAAAATCTTGTCTTTTTTGACAAGTTTTGATCATTTCTCAGTCACTTTAAGTTAATGTTTTAATAAATATAAGGATGAAATTAAATAGATGGATATAAACTCAGTTTAATTATCGGTACACTTATTAACTTAATTAAACGTCTTAACTCAACATGCTGTAATAGTATGGTAAAAACATGGGAACATTCAGTCTTGGCAGATACAGATGTGCGTGTTTGTAAGCCGTGCAGAGACGGATGGAGCCGCCGGTTCCCGGTGTTTTACCTGTATAGGTCGTATCCCGCGGCCCGGTTGGACCCTCGGCTCGGTGTCGTGGCGTGTTCCGTGAGCTTGGCGAACTTTAACACCGCTAGCTCCTCCGCTCCGTTCACCGCATCGCTCTTGGCTCTTTTGTGCGGGGAAACCGCTTCTGTAACTTCAGAGCACGGCATGTTCACTGACGGGCAGCTCAAGACAACCGCGCGAAAACCGAGGATGGAATGAATAAAGCTCGAGCGCGCCAAACACACTCCCGCGCGCCGCGCTTCAAAGAGAGCTGCGGCGGGAAACGCTGCGAGTGGCTGCTAGTGCGTGACGTCATGCGTCATCATACAGCTTGTATTGTTATTATTATTATTTTTTTTAAAGCTTTTGGAATAGCTTGTATCTTTATATAGGTAATTACACGGCTTGTTCCAGCGCCTTACAACTACAAGATATGATTTTTTTACTATAAAAGTAAAACTATTCACTATTATTTTGTATAGAAAATATTTTACATTTCTCGAATTCGCAGCCTTCTTTTTCACATTGTTTAATTAAAATAGATGTTTTTCATAAATTCTGTTAAAAACAAGAAAAGTGATAGATTCTTGGATCATTATGATAATTATTTTGGAAATATCACGGATACACAAGTCCTTTCCTCTTGCTGTGTTTGTGTTATTTATGCATCTTTGTTTATTTTTTCTTTATTTTTTCACTGTTTTATATGCGTTTAAATTATTATTTAACCTGATCTGTTAAGTTATTATCACTGTTACTATTATTGTTTTTGTTGTGCAAGATCGTATTTTGTATGTTTGTTATAGAAGTCAATTAAAAATAAATAAAATAAAATAATAATATATGTGTCATAAATAACTTTCATGGCAGACGACGACGGGTGTCCTTCATCAGGATTGGGTAAGTTACTTCAAAAGCAAATAATTATTAAATTACACACTCAAAAATTTTATTTATTTATATTAACTTATTGTGTCACAAGTAACTCGGTTTTTACAAGTAACTCAATATTTTAAAGGGTTAAATAAGCATCATTCTTTAGTTAAAATTAGACATTCTTTTTAGAAAAATAGAATATGTAAATATGTAAAATGTCTTTGCATTTGCAACCTAATATACATTTAATGTTAATATACATTAAAATTAACCAAAGATAAACCTACTCTGAATTGATTTATCCTGAACTGTTTACTTAATTTACTGTATTTAAGGCAAGTACATGATAAGCAATTATAATTAAATGACCTAAAAATAAACAGTAATCCCTTTACTCTTTCAGTGTATTTAACTGCACACTTACACCCAGCACAGGTCCATATTTACCACATTAATGTTCAGCAGAATGTGATATCACGTTTTAGAATCATATTTTATAAATATCGCTTATAATAACTTATAGTTTATAGTTATAGTTACTCATAGTTACTCATAAACACATGACCGGTCAGTCTCAGCACTGAGCTGCAGTCAAGCGGCTGTGTTATCAGATATTAACGCTCATATTTCATCAACAGTCATATTTTCTGGCTGTATTTTGGTGTTTGTGTGAATCTGCTGACCTTCAGCACCGCGTCCGAGCAAAAACCCGTTTAAACGGCCCAAAACAGCGGCAGAAACACGCCGGACCAACATCCTTTACCGACTGTCCGCCATTAATGCTACCGCGGAGCATTCTGGGAGCTGGAGTTCTCCATCATATAGTTCACGGAAAGAAACCATGAAACGGTTTAACCATGCTTTGTTTTTGTCTTTTTTACAGTCTATGGTTAAAACTGGTTTAAACTCACCTTCCATCGCGACTGTCGATCCGGATTGAAGCAGGATTATAATGTGAAGCGGCTCATGCCATGAGGAGGACGACGACGACGGCTCCTGTCAGCATTAAACACTCAGGTGAAGTAAATTAATCCTGATATTTAAAGTTTGTCATGGATCGTGTTTTAAAAGGAAAGTTGATTTTACAAAATAAAATTATGTAATAATTAGGCTACTCTTTAATAAATGTTCCTGCATACTGTAGCCGTATTATGAATTATAGTGAACTGATCAACTGTACTAATACTGTAGTGTACTTTAAGTTTACAATATAGTATAATATATTTCAGAAAACTACTGTATTGGTGTCATTTGTTTATAATACTAATTTTATTTACTATGTTATCAAAGCAACTAGAATCACCACAACAGAGTAATACCAGTTTACTATAATAAAACACACTCTTATTTTTTAATGTTTTTTTTTAATTCTGTCGAAGTAATATTTTGCAGAGTGTTTCATAGTAGCCACTAGCAAGACTTCCATAGTATGTTTTTTTTCACTATGGTAGTCAATGGTTACCGGTTTTCAACATTCTTCAAAATATCTTATTTTGTGTTCAACATAGACAATCATTAAGAAGTTAAATTCCTTTAAAAATACTCTTTACTCATATGAAAACACAATGAGTAGTTTATTCAAGTTTGATTTTCAACATTTGTCTCATCATTTTACTTTTTTTTTTTTGCATTTTTTTAAACACAAATTTACAAAATATTGGGAAATAGTTGAAAATCTCCCTCTTGACAGTGCAGACCCTTTTACCTTTCAGACAGTCTGATGCATTTTTCCAAAACTGATTGATTTATTGTGAGAAAACATGTCAGTGAAGATGAATATAACATTTAATAACTAAACAACCTTTCCCAGTACCACATACATAAATAGGATTGCCAAAATGATATCATAACAGGCCTAAAGTGAATATATTTACAATAGAATGACTATAACTGACCAAAAGTGTTTAACTGATGAATCTTTGTGAAGTTGACACTAAAGTGCTCATACAGGGTTCACAGAGATCAGTAGAGGGCAGTGTAGAGCAGGCCAGTGTTCACAGTGCACACTACACACTGCATACTGTGCAGAATAATCTACCATACAGCAGTGTTATATATATATATATATATATATATATATATATATATATATATATATATATATATATATAGTTAAAGACAAGTTATTAGCCCTCTTGTGTGATTTTAATTCCCTAACTCTTTTCCAAAGTGATTATAATATTCCCAGGGCAGGAACATTTTTATATAGTATTTATTGTCATAATTTTCTTCTGGAGAAAGTTTTGTTAATTTATTTTACCAAAGTACCAAATACCAATTCGTACTATTAGCCTGCCTAATATTAAGATATTGTCTGTTTATTAGTACTTATAAAGCACATATTGTGCATGATCTTATTTTATCCCTTCACAATTCCTAATACCTAAACTCCCTTAATAGCTATTAATAAACAGCAAATTAGGATTCTAATAAGAGCTGATGATTTGTTAATTGTGAAATCGTACTTTAAATAAAGTGAACAAAAAGCATGTTTTTTTTTTGTAAAACTGCTGTGGTCAATATTATTAGCCCCCTTAGGAATTTAGTTTCTACAGCACAACAAATATCGAAAAAAGAATTGAACTTTCACAGGAGGGTGAACAATTTAGTCTTCAACTGTACATCATGTTGCATGGTAAATTAAAGGCGCAGTTCACCCAAAAAAATAAACATTTCTGAATGTTCTAAAACTTTTTGAGTTTCTCTATTCTGTTAAAAACAAAGCAAGATATTCTGAAGAATGCTGGAAACTGGTAACCATTTATTGACTTCTATAGTAGGAAAAATGACTATGGTAGTCAATGGTTACCCGTTTATAACATTCTTCAGAATATCTTCCTTTTTTCTACTTTAAAAAAAGAACGTAACTCAAACATGCTTGTAGCAAGCACAGGATGTGTAAATAATAAAAGAATAATCATTTTTGGGTGAACTGGCCCTTTAACTACATCTAAGGCTTTTTGTTCTGCAGACGTGTCTGATGAAATACGTAAAAAATCAATCTATATTTGAGTTTTATTTATTTTGAGTATAAACACTGCAGGAGTAGTGTGTTGATCTGAACGCTGCCTGTGTGTGTGTTCATGAGTAGATGGTCAGCACACTCTTGTGGTTTCCGCGGATCAGCAGCGTCGGTGGGAGATTCTTAGTGAGCGCTTCCAGCCAGGCCATGTAGAGGTGATCAGAGACAGAGCCTTTACGGGCGATGGGGAGACTCCTGTAACACACACACACACACACACACACACACACACACACACACACACACACACACACACACACACACACACATGTTAAAGGGACAATTTACTGATAGCTGATAGCTCCACCCTAAAGGACTGATAGTTCCGCCCTAAAGGACTGATAGCCCCTCCCTAAAGGACTGATAGCTCCACCCTAAAGGACTGATAGCTCCTCCCTAAAGGACTGATAGTTCCGCCCTAAAGGACTGATAGCCCCTCCCTAAAGGACTGATAGCCCCTCCCTAAAGGACTGATAGCCCCTCCCTAAAGGACTGATAGGTCCACCTTAAATGACTGATAGCTCCTCCCTAAATTTATTCAATGTGACCAGAAGTGAAGTAAGTCATTTCGAGGGAGGAACAGTTATTGTTATGGGCGTTGCTTAGCCTATTTTAGGGGTGCTGTAGCCCCCTATATTTCTACTCAGCCCCCCTAAAACGATTAGCTCATAAACTGCCTACTAATTTATCGCCTCAGTCCCCATTAAATTTGATATTTGTTTACTTTATAAGGAGCTTAGCCCCCCTAAAATGAAAATCCTAAAATCACCCCCGGTGTTTGACTCTGAGAGCAAACGACTTTTTAGAAAATACAGAAGTGCACAGATACACATCGTTTAAAACAAGCATTACTAGAGAGACATAAGAGTTGATCAGAGCTGATGATGATGATGATGATGATGATGTGACTTACACCACGATGAGTTTAGCAGCTCTCGAACTCTCCTGAAGAAGCTCATTCAGACGCACCTGCAGCATCGTCTGCACACACACACACACACACACACACACACACACACACACACACACACACACACACACACACACACATATCTGATAGATGCATTTGTTTGTTCGCTCAATTTTGTTTTTGGACACACAAAAGTCGAACACAAAATACCTAGTCTGGACTGACAGAAATCCCCCCTCCCCCCACCACACACACACACACACACACACACACACACACACACACACACCTTCTGCTCAAAGGCATCGAGCTCAGCATCTGTGATCTTCCAAGGCTGCTCTTTCCTCAGAGCTTCAGTCTGACTGCTGTCCTTGGAGCCCTCGTGCAGACGAAACGGCTCAATCATGTCCTCAAACAGCTTCCAGCTAACACACACACACACACATCCCCGAACAAACACACACACACATGCACATACAGACACATGCACACACAAACAGACACAAATGCAGACTCATACATATTCAGACACAAACACACACACACATTCATGAATGCAGACACATACAGAGAGAGAGAGAGAGAGAGAGAGAAAGCAAGTGCATTGAGAGGCTTTAGTAGGTGTGTAAATATTAGAGTGTTAATCGTGTGTGTGTGTGTGTGTGTGTGTGTGTGTGTGTGTTCTCGTACTTCTCTGCGCTGGGTCTGATGTTGAGGTCTGAAATGACTTTGATGTCTTCACACTTGATCCTGAACTTCTTCAGCAGCAACTGCATTCTGACAGAGACAGATATGGTGAAAACACACACACACACACACACACACACACACACACACACAGATTTTTTTTTAAAGTCACACTGTAAAAATGCTTTTCTTGTGTGTGTGTGTGTGTGTGTGTGTGTGTGTGTGTGTGTGTGAGTGTGTGTGTGTGTGTGTGTTGTTGTTGTTGTTGTTGTCGTACTCCTCTTTGTCCTGCTGTATGCGCTCCGGCTGTCCGGCGATGAAGATGCGCAGTCTGCATTCTCTCCACTTCTTGCGTGTGGTCAGAATGTGCGGCAGAAGCAGTGTGAGACCTGCACAACAACACACACACAGAGAGAGACACATTTACAGGTACACACACATGCGGATATATATGTATATGTATATATATATATATATGTATATATATATATATATATATATATATATATATATATGCAGAGACACACACACAAGTGTACAAAAACACACACACATATACACACAATCATAGTGACACGCAGAAATATATATACACACACACAGACACAAACACATGTATACAAACACACACACATTTGCATAGTGACACAGACATATATACACTAGTACAGAAACACAAATACACACGCATAGTTGTACACACTGACACACACACACACACACACATATAAATAAATAAATAAATATATATATATATATATATACATACACGCACAGAGACACGCACATATATACACATGCACAGAAGCAAACACACATACACGCATGCAGAGACACACACATATACACACATTCACAGAGACACACACATATATAAACATGCACAGAGACACACACACATAGACATGCATACACACATATAGACATGCACAAACAGAAACACACACATAAATACATATATATATATACACATGCACAGACTCACACACACACGCAGAAACACACACATAGTGACACACAGACATATAAACATGCACTGAGACACAAACATATACAAGAGCAGGCACACACACATGCATAGAGACATAAACACACACAAACAGAAACACGCATATACACGCACACACACACACACACACACACACACACACACACACACAAAGACCACTCTCTCTGTGTGTGTGTGTGTGTGTGTGTGTGTGTGTGTGTGTGTCTGTGTGTGTCTGTGTGTGTGTGTGTGTGTGTGTGTGTGTGTGTGTGTGTCTGTGTGTGTGTGTGTGTGTGTGCTTCAGCTCACCTCCGTCATCAAACAGCCACCAGACGTCGATGTTGCCCTTGCCCTGCTGCTGCTTGAACTGCCCACTGGCCTCCACCAGACGCTGGTTCAGCTTGGCCAGATCTGAGGCCTGAGGAACGCCCAGAGACACTGAGCACACACACACACACACACACACACACACACACACACACACACACACACACACACACACACACACACACACAGTTGTACAACGGTTAACCAGTGTTAATATGCTGCAGTAATAGTCTGTAACCTAGTTCACAGTAAGTTTCCTTAATATATATATACTATAAAGGGCCCCTATTATGCAGAAATGACTTTTATGCAGGGTTTAACACCAGTAGTGTGTGTGTATGTGTGTGTGTGTGTGTATCTTCAGCAGCCTCTACTGCTCAACATGTGTAATTGTGTTTATTATAATCAGACTTGATGATTGAGGTGAATGTGATTGTGAATGAATCCGCCGTTTTGAATGAATCATTTGAATGATGCTGATTTACTGATGATCAGCATAAAACACACTCGGCTAAATATCCGTCAATCATCATCATTATCCAGGATAACGGGCTGTAATTAGTGTCAGTAGTGCAGAGCTTCAGGAGCCCATCGGCTGATTAGACGAGCCTCTGAATGCAACTGTGCTGTTATAATCCAATCATCTGATCTCACAGAACACACAAAGCTGAACTCCAGACCTGCTCCATCTCAAACACACACACACACACATTCACATACACATAAATGCGCACACACACATATACTAATAAACACACATGGTCACACAGTAGGGGGCGCAGTGGGTAGCACAATCGCCTCACAGTAAAAAGGTCGCTGGTTCGAATCCTGGCTGGGTCAGCTGGCGTTTCTGTGTGGAGTTTGCATGTTCTCCCCGTGTTGGCGTGGGTTTCCTAAGGATGCTCCGGTTTCCCCCACAAGTCCAAACAACATGTGGTAAGCTAAATTGGCCGTAGTGGATGAGTGTGTGTGTGTGTGTGTGAATGAGTGTGTATAGGTGTTTCCAAGTACTGGGTTGCAGTTGGAAGGGCATCTGCTGTATAAAACATATTCTGGAATAGTTGGCGGTTCATTCCGCTGTGGCAACTCATGAATAATAAAGGGACTAAGCTGAAAAAAAAAATGAATGAATAAATCAAAAAGTAAACACACACATACACACACACACATGCTCACACACTTCTACACATAAATGTTCACAGTCATACACATTCATATATATCACACACACACACACATTCATACACACAAACTCACACATAAGCACACTCTTACCCATAAATACACTCGTGCACACTCACTCATACACAGACATGCACACACACACACTTACAAACACACACAGACACATATATGCACAATTTCTTACACAAACACACAGACACACACACTCTTACAAACACACACACACACACACACACACACACACACACACTTTGTCTGCATATTTCCATTATCTTCATCTTTACGGCCTCTTCTGAATCAGATTCAATCATTGCGTCTCGTGTCATTTAGCAGCCACTCGTTTACAAACGACTCATTAAACACTAATGTCTGTCTGTGTGTGTGTGTGTGTGTGTGTGTGTGTGTGTGTGTGCTGCTGTCTGTAATCACTGCACCACTACAAACCATTACACCAAACAACAAGCACAAGACTGTCTGGACATCGCAGACAAATGAAAAATACAGAACGCCTTACAATAATTCATTCTGCTTCAGCTTAGTCCCTTTATTCATCAAAGGTCACCACAGCGGAATGAACCGCCAACTATTTCAGCATGAACTGTGTATGTGCAGAACTGGGGGAGAAATGTGCAATTATGCTATTTATTTTCATTGCAGAGGTTGCGCGGTGGGTAGCACATTCGCCTCACAGTAAGAAGGTCGCTGGTTCGAGTCTCGGCTGGGTCAGTTGGCATTTCTGCATGGAGTTTGCATGTTCTCCCCGTGTTGGCGTGGGTTTCCTCCAGGTGGTCCGGTGTCCCCCACAGTCCAAACACATGCGCTATAGGGGAATTGGGTAATAATAATAATAACTTTTATTTGTAATGCGCTTTTACTATACTCAAAGCTAAAATTGTCCGTAGTGTATGAGTGTGTATGAATGTTTCCCAGTGATGGGTTGCTGCTGGAAGGGCATTCACTGCGTAAAACATGTGCTGGATAAGTTGGCGGTTCATTCCATTGTGGCGACATAAGATTTATAAAGAGACTAAGCCGACATTTTTTTTCTATTCCATGATACAAAAAAACCTTGAATTTTTATATTGAAAGCTTCAAGCGAAATATTCTCACAACCAGCAGGTTAAAAATCACTTAAAGAGAGGCTCAAAATGCAAAGAGTGATTAAAAATTAATGATTAAATTAATTTGAAATAAATTAAATGCTAAAAATAATTAATTCAGTATAAATTTTCCCTTTTTATTAGATGTTTTGCAAATTTCCGCTGTTCATGTGTGCTTCATCTAGAACTGCACATCTATAATCCTCTTAGTCTATGCTGACATGATCTTCAGCAGCTCAAACACTCTAATGGCTAATGGACAGACGGCTGCTTCTCACTCAGGCCTGCTGGACATGCTAATGAGATGGGCACTAGTGGGCGGGGCTTGATGACACGTATAAAGGGAGAATGTCAATCAAAGTGTTTCAGTCATCAGGTCTTTATATAATAAACACAACTCACTCATGTTGAGCATTAGAGGCTGCTGGAGATACACACACACACTGCTCACGCACACACACACTACTGGAGTTAAACGCATTAGAAAAGTAATTTCTCCTGGACAATTTCAGAAGATTTGGGCCACTTTCTTTGGTGACTTCATAGGGAATTCTTTTCCCCAAAGCAATGTATTGTCACTAAAGTTGATTTCCCCTGTATTGTACTCTTACAGGCTGGGCTTGGGGATGTTGGTTTTTGTTTGTTTTTGTGAGTTTATGCATATCAGAAAACCAATCCTAAAATGTGTGATTATTGTAAGTCTGTTCAATGACTAAATAAAACTTATTTGACTAGATCAGTCATTTCTGTATAATAGGTGCCCTTTAAAACTTCAACTTTAATGACTATTTAAACTTTTAAAATTATATTAATTAGAGTTTGGGAATCTCAGTTTGGGTTGATGGACTTCAGTTTAATTGCATTAAAGCAGATCTCTGATCTCTTTAGTATGGTTTATTGTCAGATGCGCTGAACACCTTTGCTGGTCGGCTCTTTTTTTGGGGTTTTCTTGGCCCGATTGAAGAAGCCTCTCGGTCCAGGCTGAAAGTCATTCTCCTCCATCTCCAGCGCCTGCTGCTCCAAGATCATGCGCTCCATCTCCTCTATACACACACACACACACACACACACACACACACACACACACACACACAGCATCTTCAGCATATTCTTACACACATCAGCCACATGTGTGTTTGTGTGTGTGTGCGTGTGTGTGTGTGTGTTTACCTTCAGCTTTGAGGATGTGTGAGATGTCCATCCCCTGACTGACTCTCATTATCACTGTCCCGAGCTCAAAGTCAAACGTATCGCTGCAGGAGAACAGAACAAACATGTGTGTGTGTGTGTGTGTGTGTGTGTGTGTGTGTGTGTGAGAGAGACACTGATGTTCATTCAGAAAGGCAGTTCCTTCACTTACTGGAGAATTCCTACATAGTTTTGGACGTCCTGTGGTTTACTGGTTCTCCAATCACGCTTAAACCCCAGCATCACTGTGTTCGGCTTCATTCTGCCCAGTCCTGACGCCTGCACACACACACACACACACACACTACTTAGCTATCTAAATGGGGATACGTGGAACTATATTATTTTGATAAACAAACAGCACATTCAGATTCATTTCTAGCCTCCTCTGAACCCTCACACTAAACCTTCTGCAATTTTGCAGTCTTTGTTTACTGTTTTTTACACCGGTTTCTCGTTATGAGGAGGTTCTGGAGAATCTGTTTTCACATTTGGACACAAACACACCCACACATGCATGCACACACACACACATATGCACAAACCCACATGCACATACACACACATGCACAGACTGACAGAAACACATGCACACACACATACATGCACACACACACATACTCATACAAACACTTGCATGCACACGCATACAGTTGAAAGCAGAAGTGTACATACACTCTAATAAAGGAACATGACCATTTTTAAGAATGTCTGATGGAAAATCACTAAACAGTTTCTATTTTTGGTCTGTTAGGATTGCCTAAATGATTTACATTTGCTAAATGCCAGAACAATGAGAGAATTGTTTATTAATTTCTAGACAGTCAGACGTTTACACACATGTCCTTGGTATTTTTTAGCTTTGCTTTTAAACTGTATAACTTTGGTCAAATGTTTTGTCTCCTTCCACAAGCTTCTCACAATAGTTTGCAGGAATTTTGGCCCATTCCTCCTGCAGAATTGCTGTAACTGAGTCAGATTTGTAGGCTGTCTTGCTCGCACAAGCTTTTTCAGCTCCGCCCACACATTCCCTATAGGATTGAGATCAGGGCTTTGTGATGGCCACTCCAAAACATTCACTCTGTTGTGCTTAAAGCACATTTGAGCTCATTTGGCAGTGTGTTCAGGGTCATGGTCTGTCTGGAAGAGCCATTTGTGGTCGAGTTGTAATGTTCTGGCTGATGTGTTGAGATGTTGCTTCAGTATTTCTCCATAATGTTCTGTCTTCATGATGCCATCTCTGCTGTGAAGTGGACCAGTCCCTCCTGCAGCAGAACAGCCCCACAACATGACGCAGCCGCCCCCATACTGCACAGTGGGGATGGTGTTCTAGGCTTGTAAGCTTTCCCTTTTGTCCTCCAAATGTAACACTGCTCATTATGGCCAAACAGTTCAGTCTTAGCTCCATCAGAGCACAGCACATGTCTCCAAACATTAGTCTGTTTCCCAGTGTCATTCAGCTAATGGTAATCTGGCTTTGTTGTTGATTCTGGCTTGTTATTTTTCCCATGTTGTCCCACAAGGAAGCAGTGTGTTTGAGCTTTTCCTTCAATACTATTCTACAGTTGTGCCTCACATTAACTCAAATGTTGTCAATTAGCCAATCAGAAACTTCCAAAACCCTGACATCATCATCTG